CTGAAGAAGGGTCTAGGCCCGAAACGTCAGCCTTCCTGCTCCTCTGATGCTGCTTGGCCTGCTGTGTTCATCCAGCTCTACACCTTGTTATCTCAGATTCTCCAGCATCTGCAGTTCCTACTATCCCCGGAATGTTATGCAGGTCTCTGGATTAACAGTCCAGCGATAATACCACTAGGCCATTGCCTCCCCACTCAGCTCTTCTAAAACAATGGGAAATTACTGTGAATGTTGGAAATGTCAAATGTATTGAGAAGATGCTGGAAATACGTAGGCAACACCTGTGAAGAGAGAAGCCACCTCTCTGCAGCCATTGATATGTCTAACCACACTGTCATCCTCAGTTGTCCAGTGAGTAAAACTGCTATCGATTGGCCACTTTGGCCTCTTCAGCTGAAGCCAGACAAACTCCTTCAATGGCTCTGGAGTCCGATTAAGGGTTTATTCTAGGCCCTCATCTATTTTCCATCCACATGCTGACTCCTAGCGCAAATCCACCTGATGACATGAACACCAATTTACATTCCTGCTTTGGGTACGTAGAGTCAGAAAACCTCTGCAAAATCAACTTTTCGGAAATGGACGACTGGTCTTCCCATTTTTCATGCAGTGAGGGGGCTGGTTGGGGTGAGTGACACAGGAGGACCTGAGGACGGATGCCCAGTGTAGGAACAGGATGGGCAGAAAGCTTACCTTGGGCATTGGCACTGTATCAAAAGTTTAAAATCAAGAATTAACACATAAAATGAATCCCTTGCCCTCACATTCCTCCACAGAATCTTCATGTCTCATCCATGCCATCTAATACCCTATCTTCACCCCATGATCCCACACCTTCTAGCCAAACAATGTTCCTGCGCTCATCACCCATGGCCTTTTATTGCCCCAGTGACAACTCTTGCTAAAATTATGCCAACTCACTTAGAAATTGCCAAGAGCAGACCTTGGGACCATGCACATATATGAAGAAATAGAGTATTGCAGTCTCAGCATATTGATAAAAACATTCATTCATAAAAGCACATTACTGTGCTTACATTCTTCCACATGATAAAGCTTTGAAACCAAAATATACTTAATTCAAGTGTAACAAACCTTAGAATTCACAATTCCATATTGAAGAGTCCAAAAGCATTTGTTGTTGTCAAATTGTGGAAGTGAAGGCACCTTGTCTGATAATAGTTTCTTGTGAAAACAGAAATGCAACACTAATCCTGTGTGGGAACCTCTCAGATTTGTGTCCACGGAATATAATGGAAAACAATAATTACTTTTTTATCAATTCTCAAACTTTTTTAAAAATATTAAAACATCTAGAGTTTTAAATGCCTTCATAGTCTTGAAGGTTTATTTAAAACTAGACTGGTCCACTTGATATCTTTGAGAGTTCTTCGCAACCGAAAAGTCCTTTGACACTCTTTGAACAGCTTTGACTGTCCTTGGCCAGCTTTGACCATCCCGATGAGTTAATGCACTTATTAATGCACGATCTTCTTCACTGTTAATCATTTCAAAGGTCATCTGACCTCTCCCAGAGGTGTTCATGGATCCAAATTTTTCCAAAAGGGACACTGGCTTTCCAATGAAACGCACTGAGAACAGGCTTGGTATGACCAGGTCTGTTCCACACATTTGCACTGTTCGAGATTGCAGCAATACCAAAATGTGACTTAGATGGAGATAGCTGATCATTTAAATGGTCAGATGACCTGTGAAGTATGCAAGTGTGAAATCTGGACCACCACCAAAGCTGTTGCCATGACAATGGAAAATTACATGTTACGGGGATGGTGGAAAGAAAAACCAATGACTGTATTGGAGATGCCCTTGGACTGAACAGCACAAGAGATCTGAACCAAATAAATAGTAAATTCTACTTCATAGACATAGTTTGATAAAATCATATTCAACAAATAAATTCAGAAGCAGATTTTTGATAGCAAACGCTCTGATGCACTGAAATCCATATGCAAGAAAATGTTTAAACATCCTCCAATGACTTTACAACATTGTAAAGACCATATATTTTTATTTTTCTGTATTTTTTATTGTGGACTAAAATGGAAAAGAACTGGTTTAAAAACCAAAGATTGTTGAAGGATTTTAAAAGCAAGCAAATGGAAACTGATTGTAAGTACTGTTTTCACAGCAGTGGCAGTAGTGGAAGCTGAGTTTGGAGATGAGCTAAGCCAAATAATGTGTACAAATGGAGTTTTGGTTGACGCAAGTTGTTGATGACAATGGCCTTCTAGCTGCCAACAGCTATTTGATTGGCTTCCAGGTAACTCAAAACTTTGGGGGATGAATGTTTTGGCAGAAACTATTGGACCTCTGGAGAAGAAGCTGTTCTTGCTTGACGGTAAAAACCATCTCAAGCCTGATGATAATTATTTCCCCTTTCTAGTCATTGTAAGCTGCAAATTTTAATTGTTAAGTCAAAAATATTTATTTTTATTTTAAGTGTAAACCAGAAATTCAACTCCACTGCCTTTTAGTCTGCCCTTCCTAAATCCAAAATACTCCTGGATGTTCATTTCCCATCCTTGGTCATCCTGCAGCTGAGCACTGGAATGTGGGATTACGGTACTAAGTGGTGTTTTTTTTTTCTGTTGTTGCAAATGTGATGGGTCAAAAGGGTCTCTACTGTATGGCTCTGTGACTCTAAAGAATCTGCAGAACCAGAATCAACGAACAGCACATCCTGACAAGACAAAAGGACCATCTCAGCAAACCCTGTAAACAGAAAATGTTGAACTGCCTTACCACTCTTTCCCTCCACCCATGACATATTTGTTTTCTTGGCTGTGTCTGTCTGTACGTGTTCAGGGAGAGTTGATAAAGGGGGTTAGAGTTTTGACTAGTAGAGTTATATGTTGATGGCTCATTATTGTTTATCCATAATTAGAATTTATTTATTTGCAATAGTTATGTACAGAAATCTAGTCTTTGCGTTCTCTTGACCTAGGTCTAAAGGATGGGGAAGACGGGGAAATTTTGTGCACTTTTTAATATTCTTAACTTCTATTGGGAGTAGCAATGCTTAATTTCCAGCATGCTACCCCAAGAAGATGGAACATTATGAAGGCTATTGCAATAAGTTTGTAATAGTGATCTAGATTAGATGATATGCAACACAGCCTCTGGAAGGAGAATCAAGCAGCAGTGAGAGTTCAGCACAGTTCTCCTGATGGAGGTACATGTGTCTTTATGACTTCATGTTAGTATGGGTTTATATACCACAAAGTTAATGTAACCTGTTATAATTACTGATATGAATTAAAGCACATCTTTGTGCAAAAGGCAAGAGCCTCTTCTTACTCATGCTCTATCCTCCACGAAAAACTACGAAACAACTCCTTAGACTAACAAAAGAAAGACGAATGGTGGCAACCAATGACCGAAGATATAGACAGCATATATGTGGTGACAATGGTAGGCATCATCATACAATCTATATCGGTGATTGGTTTTGCAATAAATATTGATGGCATTTCATGCCCAAACTCACTTTAACATTGGACACCTTTTCACTGCCCTGATTGATTCACCTTTCAGTGAGCTGATTGGTTATCAGTCAGAGCACTCTAATTGGATAATCAAGTAGTCCAGGCATGTGCCCACGTGACGGCAGTTTGAACATGTTCTCGTGCACGTGGCGGAGTAATGGAGGATCAAAAGAAATCACTGACTTGAACAAAGTGTATCACCTAAGGAAATCAGCTCAGAGGAAATAATCACTCAGAAGGGGGAATGTTTGTCAGAGAATCAGGGGAGAAGGAGATAGTTGGTATTTGTGGAGATCACGTGGTTAATTTTTGGCACCTGCGGGTCTGTGACTTACTGGAGCTGATCTATTAGAGTGAAACAGAGATCCGCTAAGGTCTCCAATGGATAAGCCCATAAATTAAAGTGCTAGATCAGTAAAGTTGACCAAATGTTATCCTTGTAGTAATAAGCAGCTTAGAATTGATAAACAATTTGAGAAACTACAAATGTAACAATATTCCTATATCCTGAGAAATTAGCCTAAAAGCAAAGGACAAAAATAATTACCCAACATTGAAAATAACAGAATCTGAATAATACACAATAGTTTTCCATGAGCTGAGTAAGAGTGTGTGTACCCTCCACAGGTCCGAGATGTAAAATACAGGATTGTGGTGCAATCCTTCCTGCCATGCTCTGTACCTGGAGACCAAAGCAACCAGGGATTCAGCTCCTAGCCCACAGCTCAAACTCCTCATCTTGCTGCTGAAATTACCGAGAAAGTCAAAAGGACACATTGATCATAAAACCTCATCAGCAGATTGTTGTTTTTTAAGAAGCCACTAACATGGGATGTAATTTATCTGGTGGGACAACAAAGACGGTCACTGACTATGTGTCCATAAAAGCTGTGCACACAACTTCCACATCGTAGTGACCATTAGAGCGGGTTTCACATAAAATAATCCAAAGTTTCAACTCCTTCCTCACAAACATGTTTTAAATGGCAAGGCGATGGCTTAGTGATATTATTGCTTGACTAATAATCCAGAGAACCAGGTAATGTTGTGGGGACCTGGGTTCAAATCCTGCAAATGGTGGAATTTGAATTCAATAAGGAGTCTAATGATGGTCATGAAACCATTGTCAATTGCCAGGAAAAACCCAGCTGGTTCAATAATGCCTTTCAGGGAAGGAAATCTGCCATCCGTACCTGGTCTGGACTACATATGACTCCAGACTCACAGCAATGCAGTTGATTCTGAACTGCCCAGTGGGCAATTAAGGATAGGCAATAAATGCTGGAATGAATGAATAAAACAGAAGTTCCTATAATTAGTGTTAAAATGTTGTTTGCAAACTTAACATATCAGCAAGAATCGACCATTCAGCCTGAATCTGCCGATTTGTTTCTGTTCTACTTTCCTATCAATCCCATTCGCACTTGATCGCTCACATTGAAGATTTATTTTAATTAGTGTTAAAATAACCTAAGAACAGTCATACTCCTAATAGAAGTTTAAATGTCAACATTTATCAGTTAGTCCCAACATCTCCAGAAATATGTCGGACATTGCAGTAAAAACTCATATTTGGTGAGAAAACGTTGGAGAGATTTTCTCTGGAAGTGCCATCCTGTGTTGAATAGAGTGAGAGACAGGCCATTTCCTCAAACGTGACTAAATTGCAGTCCCAAATCCAGAAAGCTCCCCCTTCACTGAGGTCGTTTAAAACTTCCACAAGGGACTCAGCTCATTTCACCCAAACCGCTCACAGTCCCGCTCCGAACTACATTACCCATGCAGCTTGTGGGCCCCGCACGTGCGTAGTAAGGGGGCTGTATGGAATCAGGAAAGAGCCGGTCCGCAGTACCTGATGGAAGGTGTAGTTCTGACTACACTCAACGGTGGCTGACAGCCAGCGTTCGGGAGTTCGAATCTGAGATTGCGCGAGCTCGGGCGACTGTCACGTGGGTGGTGCAGGAATTGGAGGCGCGCCCCTGGCGGCGGGAACGGGATTCACAGCCTCTTCCGCCTCGAGCCAACACCCCCTCTATCAAAGGAAAGAGATTATCCAGCGCTACACCTTGTTATCTCAGATTCTCCAGCATCGGCAGTTCCTACTATCTCTGAAAGAAATTAACAGTTGGGCAGACAAAAGAATGGGCAATGGTCAACCTTAGAGAATCAATAGGTGCTAATGGGGACCATTATTGAGGCCCAAAGGCTGCAGGTTTCCCAAGTGGAAAATGAGCTTCCTCTACCACTCCCCCTCATTGTTTCTTTGGAGGAGCTGCCTCACGAATGCCCTAAAGGACTTGGAGATTCCATTTCTGCTCCCATGGAATGTGATATCAGTTGAAAGCTTGCAGCCATGAATAAGATGGTGGACAGTCTTTGGCAAGTCAGGAAGTGAATTTCTGAAGAAGGGTCTAGGCCCGAAACGTCAGCTTTCCTGCTCCTCTGATGCTGCTTGGCCTGCTGTGTTCATCCAGCTCTACATCTTGTTATCTCAGATTCTCCAGCATTTGCAGTTCCTACTATCTCAGGAAGTGAGTTACTGGCTGCAGTAATTCTAGCCTCTGAACTGCACTTGTAACCACTACATATATACAGCTGCTCCAGTTCAGCTTCTGCTTAATGGTAACCCCAACATAGTGAGGGATTCAGCGAATGTAACGACATTGAATATCAGGGGGCACTGGTTAGATTGTCTCTTATCAGAGATGTTCATTGCCAGGCATTTGTGTGGCATGATTGTTATTTGCTACTTTTCAATGGATGTTGTCCAGATTTTGCTGCATTCGGACATGGATTGATTCAGTATCTGAGGAGATGCAATTGCTGCTGAACATTGTGCAATCCATCAACGAACATCTCACCTTTGACCTTATGATGGAGCAAAGCTCATTGATGAAGAACCTAAAGATGGTTTTCTAGGATACTCCCTCGGGAACTCCTGCAGAGATGTTGTGGAGCTGAGATGACTGACCTCCAACAACCACAATCGACTTCCTATATTCCAAGTCTGACACGAACCAGCAGATAGTCTCCCCCAATTCCCATTGATTGCATTGATTCTGAGGAAGGGTCACTCGACCCGAAACATTAACTCTGATTTCTCTCCACAGATGCTGCCAGACTTGCGGAACTTTTCCAGCAATCTCTATTTTTGTTTCCCATTGATTGCAGGTTTGCTCGGCTCCTCAATGCCATACTCAGTCAAATGTGGCCGTGATGTTACTTTCACCTCGTCTCTAGACCTCAGCTCTTTAGTTCATGTTTGTAATGAGGTGAGAAACTGAATGACACTGGGCATCAGTGAGCAGGTTATTGTTGAGCAGATGCTGCTTGGTTGTACTGTTGATGATATCTTCCATCACTTTGTTGATGATCGAGAATAGACTGATGGGCTGGTAATTAGCTGGGTTGGATTTGATCTGCTTTTTGTGGATATACCTGGACAATTTTTTACATTGTTGGGTAGACAGCAGTATTGAAATTGTATTGGAATAGTTTGACTAGGGAATGGCAAGTTCTGGAGCACACTCTTCTGTACTTTTGCTGGAACATTGCCAGGGCCCAAAGACTTTGCAGTATCCAGTGCTTTTATTCCCTGTCTTGCTATCATGTGGAGCCAATTGGGTTGGCTGAAGACTGGTACCTGTGAGGTTACACATCACTGTACGAGGCTGAGATGGATCATCCACTTGGCACCTCTGGCTGAAGATTGTCACAAATGTTTCAGCCTTATCTTTTACACTGATGTACAATGCTCCCCTGTCATGAAGGTTGGGGATATTTGTGGAGTTTCCTCCTCCAGTCAATTGTTTAATTGTACACCACCATTCACAACTGGATGTGGTAGGATTGCCGAACTTATATCTGGCCTGTTTGTTGTGAGATCACTTGGCTCCATATGTGAGTGGCTGCTTTTACTGTTAGGCACATAAGTAGTCCTGTTTTGTAGCTTAATTAGGGTGACACTCATTTTGAATGATGCCTGGTGCATGTCTTCCTGCATTCTTCATTGAACCAGGGTTGATACCCTTTCTCGGTAACTGGATGTTGTCCAGGTTTTGCTGCATTCGGACATGGATTGGTTCAGTATCTGAGGAGTCGCAAATGGTGCTGAACATTGTGCAATCCATTAATGAACATCCCACCTTTGAACTTATGATGGAGCAAAGCTCATTGATGAAGAACCGGAAGATGGTTTTCTAGGATACTCCCTGAGGATCTCCTGCAGAGATGTTGTGGAGCTGAAATGACTGGCATGTCTTCCTGCATTATTCCTTGAACCAGGGGTGATCCCCGAGCTAGGTAACAGGAGAATGAGGAAGATGCTAGGCCATGAGGTTACACATTGTGTTGCAGTATGACTCTGCTGCTCATGTTAGCCCACAACATCTCTGATGACCAGTCTTGAGTTGCTAGATCTGTTCAAAGTCTGTCCCATTTAGCACAATGATAGTGCCACACAACACAATGTAAGGTATTCTCGTTGTGAAGGCAGGACTTCATTTCCACAAGGACAGTGCTGGAGTTAGTCTGACTGATACTGTCATGGACAGATGCATCTGTAGCAGGTACATTGGCAATGATGAGGTCAAGTACATTTTATCCTCTTGTTGGTTCCCTCATCACCTACTACAGACCCAGTCTAGCAGCAATGTCATTTAGGCTACTATTAGCAGAGGACCATTAAAAAGCAGACAAGTTATGTTCAATTTGTGCAGAACCTTGGTCGGCCACCCAAAGAGCTGTGCAATTGAAAAGGACACGAAAGAACTGGGGAAGATGCAAAAAAAATGATAAGGATGAGATTGAGGATTGAGAGGTTGTAACTACAGGAAAGACTGAACAGGCCAGCACACTTTTCCCAGAAAATAGAAGGCTGAGGGGTGACGTAATAAAAGTCTTTAAAAAGATGATGAGAATATAGAACTCATTGCCACAGGGAATGATTGAGGAAATAGTTTAGATGCATTTGCTAGGAAGCTGGGTACATTACGTGAGAATGGAATAGAAGGATCCACTGAGAGGGTGAGATAAAATAGGCAGGGAGAAAACTCATGTCAAGGACAGGCATCAGGAGAAAGCAGTTGGGCCAAATGGTCTGTTTCTGTGCTTTAAAAATTAAAATGAAAAAATGCTAGAAATTCTCTGCAAATCAAGAAACATCTGTGAAGAAAAACAAGTTCACTTTCAGCTTGATGCGATCCTTCATCAGAAATTAGACTGAAGTTGGCTTTTCCTTTTGTCGGTTAACTCTCCCCATTTTCGCCAACACTGACTGACACCACCTGATAGTTGAAGTGCTTCTTATTTTCATTCCTCAGCATTGGTCAGCCTGGAGTCTGCAAGTCACAATCACTTCCAAGCAGACAGTAACTCTCCGAGTCACAGACACTCTCTAAGCACAAGATCCATCCTGGAGAACCTCCCAAAGTCACTGCCAAAATCTGGTTGACGCTCACTCCCAGCATAGAAATCATTCCCTAAGACCCAGAGTCACTCCCAAACACTGGCTCAATCTCTTTTCCTACTCTGTTCTCAGTTCTCCCTCCATCTTCCAGTCTTCTGTGCTGCTCCCTCCTGTGCATCTGCTGATCCTACCACTGCACATCATCATTGCCTCGGATGCTGTGGGTTTTCCTCTTCTGATCTGCTGACAAACACATCCAAGAATACACATCTCACACTGATGTTGTCGGTTTTAAAGCCTCCAAGGATGAAGAATTCCCACACTAGAAATCTGAGAGAAACATTCACCAGGAGAACAGAAACAGCAGCTGCAATAAATAGTTTTATTCAGATGGGACAATGTCAAGTTGATATGCCACCTGATGTCAAATCACCATTATTTCACTGGTAATTTTAAACAATGTTCCACACGGTGTGTAAAATCATTCTTGCCAACAAACCTTTATTTACCTATGATTAAATAAAAGTCATGTGAATATGGAAAGCGATAGTGTTAAAGTGTATGATTCCTAATGTTCCCGTTTCATAAAAAAAATTTGCATGCACTGTCATTTGCAAGTTACTCCTTATGTGTAATCCATGAAGAAGATGATCACATATGAACAACACAACTCTCAGCTATTTCAAGTCTTTCTTGGTACCAACTTTGTCAGTCACCACGCAGCACAATGCACAATTTTTAAAGCATCTTCTTATATGTGAGTTGTTATACTTTCATTCTGGTGTCTGCTGGTTCCTGAGGTAATATTGTCTTTCAGCATCACGTTGTTGTCATGGTAACTATTGCTGCTGATCCATTACATTTCTTGAGGAACAACTGACTTCTGATACCAATGGTCATTCAGTTCCTTACATTTTTTAATATTCATTTTGTGGAACGTGGGCATCACTGACTGGCCAGCATTATTGCCGGTCCTAGCTGCCTTTGAGAAGGTGGTAGTGAGCTGCCTTCTTGAACTGCTTCAGTCTACCTGCTGTGGGTTGACCACAATGTAATTAAGGAGGGAATTCCAGGATTTTGATGGAGCAACAGTGAAGGAACAGTGATATATTTCCAAGTCAGAATGATGAGTGTCTTGGAGGGGAACTTGGAGGTAGTGGTATTCCCATATATCTGCTGTCCTTGTTCTTCTAGATGGAAGTGGTCATGGGTTTGGATGGTGCTGTCTGAGGAAATTTGGTGAAGTTCTGTAGTGCATCTTATAGATAATACACACTGCTGCTACTAAGCATTGCTGGGGGAGGGAGTGAATGCTTGTGGATGTAGTGTCAATCAAGCGGGCTGTTTTGTTCTGGATGGTGTCAAGCTTTTTGACAGTTGTTGGGGCTGCACTCATCCAAGCAAGTGAGAAGTATTGCATCACACTCCTGACTTGTGCTTTGTAGATGTTGGACAGGCTTTGGGGAATCAGGAGGTAAGTTACGTGCCACAGTATTCCTGGCTTCTGACTTGCTCTTGTAGCCATTGTGTTTATAAGGTGAGTCCAGTTGAGTTTCTGGTCAATGATAACCCTCCCCGCCCCAGGATGTTGATAATGGAGGGTTCAGTGATGGTAACACCAATGAATATCAAGGGGCGGTGGTTAGATTGTCTCCTCTTAGTGATGGTCATAGCCTGGTATTTGTGTGGTGCGAATGTTACTTGCCACTTGTCAGTCCAAGCCTGGATATTGTCCAGATCTTGATGCATTTGAACATGGACTGCTTCAGTATCTGAGGAGTCGCAAATGGTGATGAACATTGTGCAATTATCCGCGTACATACCTATTTTTGACCTTATGATGGAGGGAAGGTCATTGATGAGGTGGCCGAAGATGGTTGGGCCGAGGACACTACCCTGAGGAACTCCTGCAGAGATGTCCTGGAGCTGAGATGACTGACCTCCAACAACCACAACGATTTTCATGTCATGAACCAAGATTGTGTTGAGGTCAGAAGCTGAGTGGCCCGGGCAGAACCAGAACTGGGCATCATTGAGCAGGTTATTGCTGAGCAGGTGCTGCTTGATAGCACTGTTGATAACACCTTCCATCACTTTACTGATGATTGAGAGTAGACTGATGGAGCGGTAATTGGCCAGGTTGCATTTGTCCTGCTTTTAATATACAGGAAATACCTGGGCAATTTTCCGTATTGTCAGGTAGATGTCAGTGTTGTAACTGTACTGGACTTAGTTAGTGAAATCAATTTGACCTTATCAACTGTTGGCTGCAAAGGAGCAGCTTCCGCAGTTGTGACATTCCGTTTCACCGGGCATGATCGAGGTGACAACTTCTTCACACAGGCCCAAGTTTCCAAGTGGACTAACTTTCGATGACTATGTTTGCACTTTGACCAGTTTCCTAATTCTGAGCCCTGGCAAAGATTTTGTAGATTTATGAAAGTGAGATATGGCTTTTTGTTGTTCATTCAAGTTTGTTACACTTTTATTAGTACTTCTGGTCTCAGTAATACTCTAACAATTGGAACAGTTGCCTGGGTGCCATATGACATTGGTCTCTGGACTGGACAACTTCCCATACTTTCACTTGCTATGTTATTCCCTCTAAGTTTGCCTCCTACACATTGGTACCAGGTCTGTTGATTAATTTTTGATGACAGATTTGACAATTTTTACCATCACATTTCCATTTGACAGTGGGTGTGTGAGATGGTGTGTGGTGCTGAATTTTCCCATCATTCAGGAAGTGTCTGAATTGAGGTCTTTGTCACTGATCACAATGTCAAGAATGCCATGTCGACTGAAGTGTGCTTTCAGAAATTCTACAATCTCACGGGGAATCCTTGATGTCAGCTGCTCTAACTCCCTGCAGTCTCAATAGTAGTCGACTGCGACTATATAATCAATTCCAGTGAGAGTGAAGGGCTCTGTTCCAAGATTCATCCATGGACTGTCTGGGATGTCATGAGTCATGAGCAGCTCTTCATCTTGCTTAGCTTGCTGTTCATCACAAGCACTGCACTGGCTGATGTGGTCCTTCATCACATTGCTCATGTTTGGCCAATGCAACACTTCTCTTACCTTCCTCAGACTAGACTTGGTCCCTTGATGGTTTGTGTAGGATGTGTTTCAGCATTTCTTTTTTCATCTCTTTACAGACAATGAGCCTGTTCCCTTTAAGCAAGATGCCAACTTGGGTGATCACTTCATCTCTGTTTGCCCAATACTCTCTTACAGTCACATGGTTGTCCAAAATGGTTTCAGTCCATCCTTTCATCACGACTCCCTGTAACATTTGAAGAGTTGCATTCCATTGAATAGTTTGCTTAATCTCAGTAAGACACTTAGGGTGTCAGATTATTGTCTCTGCTTTGTTGCCGATTTCCAGAGCATGTCATGCTATGGCTTCTGGTTGAATCTGGAAGATTTCTGTACCAGTATCAAATTCCATCAAAGACAGTGTAGTTCTCAACAGCACATTTGTGATGTACATCTGCTTCCCTTGCTTGTACTTAACTTCCCAGTGATATCTCTGTAAATTAAGTTATGTCTGTTGCAAAAACTTTGGAATAAAGAATATTAGTTTGAGAAAAATCCTTTGAATTTGCTTGTGGTCAGACTCCACCATTGCTTTTTCTCTCCTGAACAGGTACTGGTTGAAAAGCTCACAATCAAAGACATTATCCAGACCATCTTTCTCAATCTATGTACAGCACTGTTTCGTTTGTGTTAACTCTCTGGATACAAACACAACGGGTTGCCCTCACTGCATGGGGATTACTCCAAGTCCTGTGTCACTGACATCACACTGCAGGGTGGCTCCATTGTTGACATCATAATCCCTCAGCACTGGTGATGTCATCACTAGGTGTTTGATGGGAGTGAAAGCTGCTTCTTGTTCTGTGTCCCAGTCCCACTGAACACCCTAAGACTGTACACCGTTACACATTCTGAGGACAAGTTGGGCAAAAATATGGGCAGGTCATTTCTCTGTAGGTTCATATTCCAGGAGGTCCAACTGTTGTGTCAAGGCTTTATTACAGATATTTTGATTACAAAGCTCACACTTGAAGACTGATTCCGCTGTGTTGATCCCCTCATGCAGCAGGAGTTTTGATGTGCCTGAGAACACTTTCTCACACATGAGTAGTTTCTCCTGTGTGAATGCGCTGGTGTCTGCGGAGAGTTGATGACTGTGAGAATGATTTGCTGCAGACCTCACACTTAAATGCTTTCTCCCCTGTGTGAATAATTTGGTGTCTGCGGAGGGCTGATGATCCCAAAAAGGATTTGTCACACACTTCGCACGTGAATGGTTTCTCACCTGTGTGAATGCGTTGATGTGTGTAGAGATTTCCTAACTGTGAGAAGGATTTGTTACACATCTCACATGTGAATGGTTTCTCCCCCGTGTGAATGCGTTTGTGTCTGCGGAGGGTTGATGATTCCAGAAATGATCTGTCACACTCATCACACACAAATGGTTTTTCTCCAGTGTGAAGGTACAGATGTGTGCGGAGGTGTGACGATGACAAGAATGATTTGTCACACACCTCGCATACAAATGGCTTTTCCCCTGTGTGAATCTTCTGGTGTGACAGGAGATTGGATGATCGGTAGAAAGCTGCCTCACACAAATCACACCTGAAGGGCTTCTCCCCTGTGTGAATCCTCTGGTGTCTCAGGAGTGTCGTAGATGTCAGAAAGGTTTTCTCGCACACCTCACACTTGAATGGTTTCTCCCCTGTATGACTGTATTGGTGTCTGTGGAGATTTGATGACTGTAAGAATGATTTGTCACATACCTTGCACACGAATGGTCTCTCTCCAGTATGAATCCGTTGGTGTCTGCGGAGGGTTGATGACTGTGAGAATGATACGTCACAGACCTCACATGTGAATGGTCTCTCCCCTGTGTGAATGCGTTGGTGTGCTTGAAGGTTCGAAGAATCAAAAAATGATTGGTTGCACACTTCACAGCTGAACAGTTTCTCACCTCTGTGAATCCGTTGGTGTCTGAGCAGGTTCCCTAACTGTGAGAATGCTTTGTCACATACCTCGCATGTGAATGGTTTCTCCCCAGTGTGAATGCTCTGGTGTCTCAGAAGAATTGTAGAAGTCATAAAAGCTTTACTACAAATCTCACACTTGAACGGTTTCTCTTCCATCTACCTTTGCTTTTCTTAACAACTGCACAACAGATGGACCCATGTGGCAAGGGATCATATGAACCTGTACAGCCCCTCACACACCTCACACTTGAACAGCCTCTCACCTGGAGGAAGCAGCCAGTAATTCATGAGGCTCAATGAATGATTGAAGCTCTCACCACACTTGGAGCCACTCACACTTCTCTCCAGCCTCACCCTGACCGATCATCCACGGCTAAACCTTCAGAAAGGTTGGTCTGATGGAAGGCTCCACACCACTGACCAGTTTCAGATCTGATGATATGTCAAAGCTCCCTGACCCGACCAGATGATGGGTTCACTGCCCAACCACCTCAGTGTTGAACAATGCTGTGAAGGGACTGGATGTCTTCCCACAGTTGTGCAGTTGTTCCTTGAGTGATGGTCAGGATGTATCTGCAGTGTCTATTCTCTCTGGCGCAGTATGGTACAATTTTTCTGGAAAACAGAAAAAGGAGACATGATTTCCTCCAACCTCCTCTCTCCTTTGCTCTAGGGCTGACTCCTCAGTCTTATTTTAAATTCATATCTTCACAGGATATGGGTGTCACTGATGAGATGAGCATTTATTCCCATCACTGATTGCCCTGAAGAGGAGGTGCTAAGCTGACTTTATGAACGACTGCTGTCCATGGTGGTGTCGGGACATCCACAGCACTGTTTGGAACGGAGTTTAGGATTTTGAACCAGCCACAATGAAGCATCGATGATACAGTTCCAAGTTAAGAGGCAGGGTGGCTCGGAGGGGAATTGGCAGATGGTGGTATTCCCATGGAGTTGAACACGAAACACAAACAAGAGGAGGCCATTCGGCCTGTCAATCTACTCCACCATTGAATACAATCATGGCTGCTGTAATTTTGGTTTCAACTCTGGATACCAACCTAGCCATTGCTGTTCCTTGTCTTTCTAAATGTTGGAGGTCACAGATTTGTAAGATACTTTCAAAGGCACCTTGGTGAGTTATTGCAGTGCATCTTGAAGATGGTACACACTGCTGCCAGAGAGTAGCAGTGGTGAAAGGGCTGAATGCTCAAGGTGCCAGATGGGATGCTAATCAAGCAGACTGCTTAGACCTGGATGGTATTAAGTTTTCTGAATATTGTTGGAGCTATGCTCATCCAGGCACATGGAGAGTATTCCATCATGCAGAGGATGTTGACAGAGAGGTAAGACATCATGAAAATAACATGAACAGGGACAGAGAATAATCTAAAGGCTTTAGATCTCGAGAAAAAGTATACAAGAGTAGAAATCTTGTTTCAGAGACACAAAGCATTGGTGTGACCACACCTGGAATACCAGGAATAGTTCAGGGAGGAGATATTAGCCTTGGAGGGAATGCAGTGTAGATTCCTGGACTGCAAGGGTGACATGATGAGGAGAGATCAAACAAACTCAGGTTATATTTTCTGCACTTGAGAAGATTTGATCAATATATACAATTCATTATGGGGATAGTGACAAGTTTAAATCTCCACTTGATCTGCTGCTCAGAGTCACCTCCGTTTCACTGGTCAGTTTCAGGAAATTCATATTGCTGCAGAAATATTTGGATTGACTGTGAGAAACATCAATCAAACAGCCAACCCATTCGATCTATTCTCTCCTCATTACCATCAACAAATAATTCATTAATTACCATTCCACAGGATAATAACCAGCTGTCAACACACACACAGAACTCAACAGTGGGAAATCAGTAAGAATCCTCAAACACTCTGTACCTCCCAGATAATGACACCTCACCTTCTCAAATTCAGGAACGAGCCATCAACGAAACTCAGCCTGGAAATCAGAAGGGAAATGATTCCAATAACTACACTCAATATCCAACACATAGCTCCAGTCAAACAGTTCAGCACAAAGCACTGAGTAAACAGCTCTCTCAGCTGGATCTTCTCACACAGCATAAGGGACATTTCCACGTCTGATTGCCCACAGGATAGTCAGACTGCCTGAAGATTGGTGTGGATATTACAGGATACAATTTGTATAAAAGCTGCTCCTTCACTCACCATCTCCTCACTTGGTTTTCAGTCCCTATAGGAAGTGAACCAGCTCTGGAAGAGGAAGAGAGAGAATGGGCAGAGTGGGTGGGCTCTCTGATTGACGTCTCTCACAGTCAATCCAAATATTTCTGCAGCAACATGAGTTTCCCGAAACATGGGAAACTGACCGGTGAAATGGAGATAACTTGAGTAGCAGATCAGGTGGAGATTTAAACTTGTCATTGTCCCATCTGAATAAAACCTCACTTATTGCAGCTGCCGTCTCAGTTCCCCTGGTTTGACAGAGATTTCTAGCATGAGAATAGCATTCTTCAACCTCACAGGCTTTCAAACTGACAGCATCAGTGTGGGATGTGTATCCTTGGATGTGTTCGACAACAGATCAGAAGAGGAGGATCCACATCATCCAAAGCAGAGCTGAAATGCAATGGTGGGACTGGTGCAAAGAACAGAGGAACACAGTAGGGTGGGTGCATAGGAGTTAGGTCATAGGAGCAGAACAGTAACTGGAAAAGGAGATTGAGCCAATGCTGGAGGAGCAATGTTTCTCAGGGAATGACTCTGACTTAGAAACATCGAAAATAGATGCATGAGTGAGCCACTAGGCCCTTCGAGCCTGCACCACCATTCAATATGATCATGGTGGATCATGCAAACTTAGTATCCCATTCCTGCTTTCTCTCTGTATGCCTTGAATGCTTTAGCTGCAAGGGCCACGTCCAGCTTCTTCTTGAATATAACTAATGAACTGGCCTCAACAGCTTCCTGGGGGAGAGAATTCCACAGCTTCACAACTCTGAGTGAAGAAATTCTTCCTCATCTACTCCTGAATGGCTTACCCCTTATTCTTAGACAGTGACGCTTAGTTCTGGACTTCCCCAACATTGGGAACATTCTTCTCGCATCTGGCTTGTCAAGCCCCATCACGATTTTACGTGTTTCTAAGAGATTCCCCCCTAATTCTTCTAAATTCCAGCGAGTACAAGCCTAGTTGATCCAGTCTTTCCGTATATGCTAGTCCTGACATCCCGGGAATCAGTCTGGTGAACTTTTGCTGGATTCCCTCGATAGCAAGAATGTCCTTCCTTCGACTAGGAGACCAAAATTGCAAACAATACCCAAGATGTGGCCTCACCAAAGCCCTGTATAACTGCAGCAAGACATCCTTACTCCTATACCTAAATCGTCTCGCGATGAAGGCCACCACGCCATTAGCTTTCCTCACCATCTGCTGCACCTGCATGCCAACCTTCAGTGACTGTTCTACCATGACACCCAGGTCTCATTGCACTTCACTTTTTACCTAAAACTAATTATTCAGATAATTATCTGCCTTCCTGTTTTTGCGATCAAAGTTGATAACCTCACATTTATCAAAATCATATTGCATTTGCCAAGTATTTGTCCACTCAGCCAGTCTGTCCAAGACACCCTGCAGCCTCTTAGCATCCTCCTCACAGCACACACTGCCACGCAGCTTCGTGTCATCTTCAAATTTGTAGATATTGCATTCAATTCCTTCATCCAAATTGTTAATGTACATTGTGAACAGCTGGGGTCCCAGTACTGAACCCTGCGGAACCCCACGCGTCACTGCCTGCTGCTCTGAAAGGGACCTATTTATTCCAACTCTCTGCTTCCTGTCTGCCAACCAATTCTCTATCCATGTCAATACATTACCTCTGATACCATTGAGCTTTAATTTTCCTTACTAATCTCTATGTCAAAAGCCCTTTAAAATTCCAGATACACAACATCTACTGATTCATCCTTGTCCACTCTACTGGTCACATCCTCAAAAAAATTCCATAAGATTTGTCAAGCATGATTTCCCTTTAATGAATCCATGCTGACTAGGACCGATTCTGTCAACACTTTCCAAATGGTCAGTTATTACATCCTTTATGATTGACTCCAGCATTCTCCCCACCACTGATATCAGGCTAACTGGTCTATAATTCCCCATTATCTCTCTCTCTCCTTTTTTAAAGAGTGAGGAATGATTGTACTCTTAGAACCACGTGTTACTCAGACAGTAACACAATGCCTAGTAAAGTGACTGTTTATTTGGGGTTTGATTGTGGTTTGGAGACTAACTCCAGAGTGACCAACTCTGAGAAAATAAAATGATGGACATTGAGACTATTGACCTGTTGAATCAGTGATGGGAGAGGAGCTATTGAGGGAGGCATGCTGGTGTGAATACAGAGGATGGGTGTGGGTAATTCGTGATGGTCACACCTTGTTTTATTTCTCCCTACATATTTACAGGAACATATGGGGATAGGTCATTCAGCCCCTCCAGCACGTTCCTCCATTCAAGGAAATCGTGGCTGATCTGTGGTCTAACTCCATTAACCTGCCTTTGCCAATCTCCCTTAAGATCTTTGCTTAACAAAAAAACCCATCTCAGATTTAAAGTTAACAGCTGATCCTGCATCTAATGTTGTTTGTGGAAAGCACTATCAGCCCAGTCTCCATCATGTCTTCCCATCAAATGGATTTAAACTATTTCATCAAACATTCCCTATGGGAGCAATTTCTTCATTTTCATTATTCTCTTGGTGAAGATGTTTCTTCTGAATTCCTCATGGATTATTACTGACCATCTTATTTTGATGACACATAGATGTAGACTCCCTAAAACAAATGGAAACATCTTCTCTCCATTTACACCCAAATTCTTAATGTTATAATTTACCAGTTTTCTATTATGTAACCCTTCAGCCTTCTCTTTTCTGAGGAAAGGACAGCTGGCCTGTTCAGTCTTTCCTGATAGCTCCAATTTCTCAATTCACCACGTCATCCTCATCAATGTTTCTGCATATTCTCCAGTTCCTTGATGTCCCTTCTCAAGATGGAGTTTAGAACTGTGCGCAGTGCTCTGAGTGTGGTCGATACAAGTTTGAAACAACTTCTGTATTCATCAATTCTAATTCTTGAAAAATGACCCCTTGTGAAATTGTTTAATTTTTGTTTAAATTACCTTGTTGAACTGCCTTACTACTTGAAATGATTGGTGAATCTGTAGTTCTGTCCTTGCACAACTTGGAAATATATTTTTTAGTCTTCTTTAACCCATCTAAAACAGAGAGCAGGGACAGCAACAACAACAACAACAGCAACACCAACATTGTGAGCAGTGACCTTCTTCTCATCACCCAAATGCTCCCAGGATGAACACCCAGCTCCAGCTCAGAGAAGGTGAGTCAGCTCAGGAAATATAGGCAAACATTTCTTCATCAACTGCCATTGTATATGGACACAAAAGTCATAGTCTACACAGCAGTCACTCTCCTGACAATATATTGGTTCTAATTTGAGGAATGAGACTATGACGCAGGGAGTGGCAATTGAGATCAGGGAGTAACTTCCTGCTCAAGGCGTTACCTATACTTAAGGAGTAACTGTGACTTGGATATTGACTTCAGGGCAACCAACTTTGAGGAAATCACATCGAAATGAAAAATGCTGCGGAGGACAGGATGTCAGAATCACAGAGTTTCTCTTACAACCTCTCCCCTTTTCAGTCAAGTCAGAAAGAAATGCTACTCACACAGGACAAATCAGAAAACTAGCCCTGAAGGAATAGCAAGCAGAAAGCTTCATCAAGAACAGAAATGATTTGAGGACTGTGCCAAGGAGCAGTACACCTCATATCTCCAATATTAACTGGCTCAGGGAATAAACAGAGGACAGGACCTTCAGCACCAATGAGGGAGATGTATTCGAAAGTGGGTGCCTTAAACCTTTATACTTTTATGCTGTTTGTCTGTCACCAATCAGAGAAAACAACAGAGAGGGGTTAAAAAAAGAATCCCTCCTCCCACACAATTGGTCTAGAAATGGTGAGGGTAGCACAATACTGTTGCCATGACGCATCCATAAACAGTCTCAATGTCAACAGCAGCAGAGAGACACAGCACAGATTTTGAATCTGCTCGTTCCTCAGGAAATGGGAGCATGCAGTGTGCCTCTTGCAAGAAACCCACTCCATTCTGGGAGACAGAGTCATGTGGTTCTGGAGTGTCAGGGAGGGTTCCACATCAGTCACCTGGCCTCTAATTCTGGTGGGGTGACTATCTTGTAGGGCCCATCATTTCAGCCAGAGATCTTGGGGGCCAAGCAGCATGTGCCAGGCCATGTGTTCCAGCTCAAGGTATGGTTCAGGCGCACGATGCTTCACTTTGTGAATGTATAAACACCTTGGATGGGATGTGAGCAGATGTGCTGCTTCGACAAAGTGTCTACTCTCCTCAGCTCCATCAGTGAGGGTGAAATCATTCTCCTCAGAGGAGATTTCAATTGTACGCTCCAGAGGAGGGACTGTAAAGGTGCCTAAATGAGCTTGGCATAGGTGGAGAAGTTGAGGTACTTGATCAAGTCATTTTACTTGGTAGACATCTGGCAGAATTGCCATCCCTACTCCATCACCGTCAGCTTTGTGAGGCCTGGAGTCAGAGCATTCAGAACTGACTGCCTCTACATTTCCAGAGCGTACGCCTCCTGTGTTCTGAAGGCCTCCACGTGGCAGGTGCTATTTACAGATCACAACCTGGTGTGGTTGGAGCTTGTTCCGTTCAGTGCCAGGGCAAGGTTGGCATACTGGCACTTTAACGACCTGCTGCTGGAGGGCGAGCGGTTCTGTCATTTCTGGACCGGATGGAGAAGGAAGCAGAAGAGCATATCCCCCTCAAGGCTATGGTGGGATGTGGGCAAAGCTCATATCCATGTCTTCTTTCACCAATATGCATGGGGGTCAATGAAGAGGCAGAAATCCAGGATCAAGGAGTTGGAGGAGGGGGTGCTCGACCTGGAGTCACTTCTCAGTCATCTTGGTGAGGACCCAG